CGGGTTACGACGGATAAACGGAAGTCCTTCTTCACCCAAAGAGTGATTCACACGTGGGACTCACTGACACAGGAGGTTTCACACCAGCTACTTGTTTCTTACCTTCTCATCTCTCACCCCTGAGCTTTGTGAATAGTTATTGCAGCCTACATGAACAACAGGTAAAATGGAAAACAATGATGCTCTGTATTCTTGGTGCTTGGGGTGCAACAGTGAGAGGGCTTCTGGTGTCCTGGCCCCACTGCTGGACCTCCTGAGGGCACCTGGCATTTTTGGCCACTGTGTGACAGAGTGTTGGATTGGATTGGCCATTGGTCTGATCCAACACTGGCTTCTCTTATGTTCCTATGAAATTCAGTGTCCTTAAGTGTAAAGTGATGCACATTGGAGCAAAAAAAAACCCAATTTCCAGTCTAGGCTAAAGGGGGGGGGGGGTCTAAACTGGCTGAGACTGAAAGGGGAAAAGATGTTGGGGGTGGTCGTGGAGAGCTTAAGGAAAGTGCCTGCTCAGTTCTGTTCACTGCTGTAGGGGAGAAAAAGGCAAATTCTGTGTTTGGGATCCTTAGGAAAGGGACTGGGAGTCAAACAAGCAATATTGTAATGCCCCTGTTATAGATCTGTGGTGCGGCCTCATTTCTGGTCACCAAATCTCCAAAAGACAAAACAGAGCTGGGAAAAGTACAGGGGGGGGGGGGCTACCAAGATTTAAAGGGGTTTGGGCCCCTTCCCTAGGAGGAACGGCTGAAGAGCCTGGGACTTTTCAGTTTAGAAAAGAGACAGCCTAGGGGAAATATGATAGAGGTTTTTCAAATTATGCTTGGGGTGGGGAGAGTTGACAAAGATAAATTTTACTCCCAAAAGAAATAGAATTCAAGGGCATCCAATAAGGCTGACGGGCAGTAGGTTCAGGATGGACAAAAGGAAGTACTACTTTACACAGAGAGTGATTAAAATGTGGAATTCACTGCCAGAGGACATAGTGATGGCCACGACAATGAACAGCTTGAAAAGAGGATGAGATGGATTCATGGAGGATCAGTCTGTCTATGGTTTCTCTCCCTAGTGACTGAGGAGAACCTCCACGCTCAGAGGCACTAATCCTCTGAATCCCAGAGCCAAGAGACAAAATCAAGGGAAAGACTCTGCCCTGTGGTTGGCTGTCCAGAGGAACTGGTTGACCACTGTATGAGACAGGATGCTGGACTAGATGGACCCTCACTGGTCTGATCCAGCGGGGCTCTTCTTATGTTCTTTCTCGGGGAAGGCCTTGGCCTCTGTGCTCTGTTGTTGGTCCTCCAGAGAAACTGGTTTGCCACTCTGTGGTATGGGATGCTGGACTGGATGGACCATTGGACTGATCCAGCAGAGCTCTTCTTCTGTTCCTAACCCCAGGATCTTGAATCGTGCTCTGAAGCAAACCTAGAGAGAGAGTCGCTCTGGGGACTGGAACAGAAATTATATGTGCAGCAAAAAAGGTTTTCCTATCATTTTTTTTTCACCCTCCCAGGCAGCAAAAAGAGACCCTCAATGCCTTCTTCGCCGTCTCCGTGTGGTGGGGAGAAAAGATCCACCATGAATCCTGCTCAGGTAAGGGGGGAGGAATCCCTGGAGAGACGAGAATGGTTTCTCCTCTGTCACGAGGCTCACCAAATCAAGCCCTTTGCCCTTGGTTCTGCTCAAAGCCTGTCTTGGGTTAGGTGTGCAGAGGGGCCCCAACAGGGACAATAAAACAATTCTGGTTACCAACCTCCAGGAGAGGCCTAGAGCTCTCCTGGAAATCACAACTGATCTCTAGAATACAGAGATGGGGGCAGGCTTTTTGGCATCTCAACCCTGATGAACTCCCTGCTCCCCCCCCAAAAAAAAATCCTGTCCTCTACAAGCCTAGATGTTGAGCTTTGCTGGAAGGTCCCTGGCCAAACCAAAGAGGGAGGTGTGTGCGTGGGCGTGGGCGTGGGTGTGATGTTCTCTTTGGAGCGCCTGGCAGAAGCCCAGTTTGGAATTCTTGAGAGTTGGAAGGAGGCTATTGAGGAAACCCTTTAAGCATTGTTATTTTTGCAGCAGCCAAACCGCTCGCTCACAACTTTAATGCCAGGAGCTCACAAAGTAGAATTCTTGCTCACAAGACTCCGCAGCTGAAAGGGAGCTTTGGTGTGTGGGGGCAGGTACTTGTCAATTTCCTGCATTGAGCAGAGGGTTGTACTAGATGACCTTGGAAGTCCTTTCCAGTTCGATGATTCTGTGACATGGTGTACGCCAACCCGCCCCCCCAAAAAGGAGGAAAAAATAGAGATAGTGAAGTGAGGAATTCAGGCGACAAGAAGTTGTGCTAACTCCTAGCAGCAAGCTCCTCACGGAGAGACACATTTGCCGTTTTCACACACGCGCAGTGTTTGGGGCTCCTGTTTTTTTTGGGGGGGGGGGAGCCACAACCCTCCACATTTCCCCCCTCTTTGGCAACTGAGCATGTGCAGGATGTGCTATCATGTCCAGAATGCCCTTGCTTCAGAATACACACTCTGCTGAGTCCTCCACCACCATAGAGACCCTGCTGGAGCTGGGTGCCAGTCTGGGCTCCGCCCATGCTGGAGACTTCAGCAGAACCCCCTTAAGAGAAAAGAGATGCTTCCTCGGGTACTTTGAGCCCCATCCCTCTCCAATGAGGTCTGGTTATTAAGGCCAAGGTATTTGGATTGATTGACATAGTCAGTCCCCGGCCTCTTCAGATAAACTGCTCAGGAAGATTGCCGTCTTCTGGGATACCTGGCTTCCTGAGCCCCAGGAAAGAGGCAGACTCCCAAGACCAGAAGAAGTTCTGGAAGAAGGGGATGTTGGCTCCCTCTTCTCTCCCTCACCGGGCCAGCCCTCGGCTTCACGCCCCTTTCTCCTCTCTCACTGTGCTTTCACACACACTGAACAATGCACTTTCAGTCTGCTTTCAAAGCACCTCAGCAGCTGTCTGCAAGCCGGCGTTAGTCCCCTATGAGCGTAGGCTCTGTCCTTGCTCTTTAAAGGAAATCGATTCGATGGAACACACTTTCTTTAGTCGCCCTAGGCACAGGGAAATCCGGTCGAAACTTAGTGAGCCGCTGATCGGAAAGTTCCCTGGCAGACCAAATTGTCACGCCTCTCCTGCTCCCACGGGAGGCTCCCACCGGTAGCCGTGATGTCCGGAACCCAGCGGGTACAAGGGGCACGCGGGTGAGATCCAAGGAAAGACTCTCATGGTATAGGGAGGAAGGACGGCCTCAGACCCGGGGTGCACGGCAGAGCAGTTACACCACTGCTCTTGGCCCCTCGGAGGTATAGCTGCCTACCACTCCACCAGTGCACGCTCTCTCTCTCCGGCCGCTCCTTCTGGCGTTTCACCTTTCTCTCTCTGTCCAATCTCGCAGCTCTCCTCCGGTTCCTCCCTGGGCCTCCTTCTCCGTTTCCTTTATTGCTTTCCTTGTTCCATAAGAACATAAGAGACGCCAATGTTGGATCAGGCCAAAGGCCCATCCAGTCCAACACTCTGTGTCACACAGTGGCCAGAAATACCAGTGCCATCAGGAGGTCCAGCAATGGGGCCAGGACATTAGAAGCCCTCGCTCCGCCCCTCCTCAGCAGCCACGCCCTCCTTCAAGGGGAGTGACGCCGACCCGCCCGGAGTTGGCCCCACCCCTGTGCTACCAGCTTCCCCTTCCCGGCTCCTGGGGCTGGCCCTACGCCGGCCTCGCTGCCTCTTCCGGCTCTCAGCTCAGGCCTCCGTAGCTGCCACTCAGCTCCGCCGTCTCTGGCACGGCCACGTGCACCTCCGTTGCCGCATCTCGGAGCTCCGTCGATGCTGGCTGCCATGGGACTCCATCCCGTCCTCTGCTGCTGCAGGTGGGTGCCTTGGACCCAGTCCTTGTGGCTGCCGTTCTGGGGTGGGGTTGAAATGTTGCGGGGGCACAAATAAAATTAAACGTGATTATCTTCCGTCTGATACAAACCACAAGACAATCCATATAATGGCTAAATTCTGCGCATCTCTAGGAAGTAATTTCTAGACCCAATGTAGGCCTCCGGAGGAGGAGGAGAAGGAGGAGGAGGTTTATACAGATGTTATTGTTCTATTGTTTTGTCATCGTAACAGCCTGTGGCTAAAGGCAATAAACTGAAACCAGAACCTGACATTTTGCACGCAGGAAATGCACAGGGTAGCTCGAGTGGATTCTTAACGCTGTGAAATTTGATTGTTCGGTTTTAGGTAAACCTTTGTGTATGCTGGTCATTGACTCTAAAATTAAAATTGGTTGTTTGTTTGCCAGTTTGCCAGCCGATCTTGCCATTTCGCCCAGTATATCCCAGTTGCGAAGGGCATTGTAAGTGGATCTAAAACGGCACATTTCAGTGTGTCTGAAAACAGTTCCACTCACATCCACCTCTCGCTCTTCTTCTACACGTGGCCCGTGTCTTCCCTCTTCTCTGCACATGTCAGGAAAGAATCCTCCATCTCTGCCACCCCTTCGGCCGTTCCATTCCCTCCACTGTTCTGTTCCTCTCCCTGCTTGGAAGCAGCTCTGCGGACTCTCTCCTTCTCTCCCTAGGAGGGCCTGGACCACTCTGCTCCCCAGGTTGGCAGTTGAAGTGAGGAGGGAATTAAAAACATCTTTTGTCTCCTTCAGCACCCCGGAGGGCAAGCCCTGGCTCTCCTCTCGGCCGAATACCAGGGTGCTTCTTACACGCTCCAGTCCTCCTCTCTCCGGAAGCGCCTTCCTCCTAGAGGTCGAGCAGAGAGGTCGGAGGAGGAGGATAGAGCAGGCAGCCATCGGGTAGCCCCCTGTGAATGACGGCTGCCCCTCTGTCCCCAGAGAATACCCCAAGGAGAGCCGGGAAGGGGACACCTCAGGGGCCCGATCCCCTCCTGGCTGCTGCTGTTCAGGGATCGTTTCAATACCCGTGTTTGGATTTATTCCTCATGAACCAATTTCCCAGGGATGGGAAGGATTACCTTCTTCTTCCTCTTCCTCCTCCAGGATCCGGTGTCCTTTGAAGAGGTGGCCGTGTATTTCACCCGGGGGGAGTGGGCCCTGCTGAGCCCGGCCCAGAGAACTCTCTACAAGGACGTCATGCTGGAGAACTTTGGGAATGTGGCCGCTCTGGGTGAGGGATCTTTTCTCCTTGACGCTGTTGAGTGTGGCTAAGACTCTTCTTGGTTCGTAGTTGCTGTTGAGGAAGGATGTGGTCAGTCCCTTTGGCTGAGTCATGCCATCCTGTCCGCACATCTGGCAAGGGTTCGGGGTTCTCCGTGCACCGGAGTGAGGCTCTCTCTAGCCGTCTTCGGAGCCCGTGAGAGGGCATCAGAAGGCGTTTCCTCCAGGCTGGCCTTACCTCGCCTGTGCTGCGATGTGCCTGTGGAGGACACCCGGCTGGCTTCTCTGCCGATCTCATGAGTTCTCCGCTCTCGAGCGTGGTGCCAGAGATGCCTAGACTGGTTGTTCTGAGGGACTCCCAACGTCCCCGTTGAGGGTGCTTTATCAGGGCCGACCCTGGATTTTGTAGGCTCGTTGATTGCCGTGGGCCTCTCTTCAGTTGTTACGGGCCGAAGACATCAAAAAGGTCACGCGTTGAACGTAGTCCTTTCAGGGAAGATTAGTCTCTGAGGCTGGAGGGCTGGGCTACACCACGATCTGACCACTGTCTGCTCAAGGCAGGGAGGGTACCGCTCCAGCGCTTACAGGGAAGGGGTGACGGTGTGAAATGGTCTGCCCGTGGAGTCTCATGGCTCCTATTGCATTCCCTAATGCTCTGGAGGGTTTTAGGTTTCCAGATGGATGCTCTGGTGGGAGCGTGGAACATGAAACTCCTAGAAATTCCTGAAAAGGTTACCCCTTTTGGACCTCTCCTATCCTGGGGCCAGAACCCGGCCCTGCAGTTTACCATGGAATGGGGAGACCTAAAAAGGGCCAAGAGATCTGGCCCAAGTGACCTTTAGACAGCCAGCAGAATAATCAGCATGTGGAATCTACTGCCGCGGAAAGTGGTGGTGTCCGCAAGCGTAGACAGTGTCAAGAGGATTGACCTATGGAGGAGAGGTCCCTCAGTGGCTGTTAGCCACTCTGTCTTCTTGGTGCTTGAGGGGCAACAGTGGGCAGGCTTCTGGAGTTCCGGCCCCACTGGTGGACCTCCTGGGTTTTGGCCACTGGGTGACGGATTAGCAGCTGGGGGATTTGGAAAGGCCCAGCAGACACCTGTCCCAACTGTGAAAGATGTTAGTTGTTGTGGATTTCCCGGGCTGTATGGCCATGGTCTTGGCGTTGTAGGACCTAACGTTTCGCCAGCAGCTGTGACTGGCATCCTCACAGGTATAACACAGAAAGATGGAGACCGGTTGTTCTCAGTGTGGTGGTGGTCTTGTGGTTTCCCCTCACCATGCCCCTCTCAATTGTGTTTCAGCCTGGCTGGGCTTCATCCGTTACCCTGCAGGGCCCGGCGTCACCACCCCTCCCTAACTGGGTTTTCCTGCCCCCTGGACCCTCCTGCTCTGAGCCCCCACCCAGCCGGGCATCTTCAGGCCAGCCTCAGCAAGCGCCCCCCCCCCCCCGTCTTCTGGCCTAGTTGAGGGCTGCCTGCCTACTCACAAGGGGAACATGACCAACATCCTGTCTCTCACACAGTGGCCAGCCAGTTCCTCTGAGCAGCCAACAACAGGGTGTAGAAGCCGAGGTCTTCCCCTTACGTGGCCTCCCGGTTTCCCCTCTGTCCCCGTGGCTAGTAGTCATTGCTAGACTTCTCCTCTGTGGAACGACCTAATCCCCTTTGAAAGCTGTTTATTCCTGTGGCCCTCACACTACATCCGCTGGCAGCGAATTCCACATTTTAATCACTCTCTGTGTAAAGCAGAACTGCTTCTTAGACCAGGAGGAGGAGGAGAAGAAGATTGGATTTATACCCCGCCCTTCACTACCCAAAGGTGTCTCAGAGTGGCTTACAATCTCCTTTCCCTCCCCCTCACCACAACAGACACCATGTGAGGTAGGTGGGGCTGAGAGAGCTCTTGACAGAAACTGCTAGGGTTCCCAAACCATGGCGGGAGATCCATGCGTGTTTGCAGGATCGCTGCCGCAGGGGGACAGCGATCCACGCTGCACCGGCGTCGCCAGGATATGACGCTATGCGTCGCCCTGGCAACGGGGCTGTTTGGAGTCCTGTTGCCAGGGCGACGCGTAGCGTCACATCCTGGCAACGCCGGTGCAGCGCGGATTGTTGTCCCCCCGCGGCAGCGATCCTGCGAACACGCATGGATTCCCCGCCGCGGTATGGCAGCCCTAGAAACTGCTCTTTTTCAAGAACAGCTCTTATCAGAGCTACGGCTTGCCGAAGGTCATCCAGCCAGGTGCAAGTGGAGGAGTGGGGAATGAAACTCACAAACTCCTTTCCCCCTCCCCACAACAGACACCCTGTGAGGCAGGCGGGGCTGAGAGAGTTCTTGACAGAAACGGCTCTTTTTTCAAGGACAGCTCTTATCAGAACTATGGCTTGCCCAAGGTCATCCAGCAGGTGCAAGTGGAGGAGTGGGGAATCAAACCCGGCTCTCCCAGATTAGAGTCCATGCACTTCAGAGCTGTTCTCTCACAAGCAGTTCTCGAAAGAGCTCTCTCAGCCCCACCGACCTCACAGGGTGTCTGTTGTGGGGAGGGGAAGGGAAAGGAGATTGGAAGCCACTCTGAGACTCTGAGTGAAGGGAGTGGGAGAAATCGAATCTCTTCTCTCTTCTCACTAAGGCCACTGGGGAGCAGCAGCCAGAGACGTTTTGTATTATACCTCTGTTAGCTTTTGATACCTCTGACTTCCTTTGGGATTGGATTTACCACTGAAAAGCAGGGTTAAAATCAAAAGAACTAAGCATCCACTGATTCTTTTGAGGAAGGACTGAAAGCTCCCTGGGGGACCATTTCCTCTCCTGATCATTGGCCCCTCTGCCCATCCAATACTCCACCCCACAACTCTTCCTTGCCTGCTGTGCCCACAGGGATAGAATCAAATCATCTTGGAAGAGCCAAACTGCTGCACACAGAGTAGAATTCTAATGTTCTGCTCTTTTTCATGCTAAAAAGGACCCGTGAGCGCCAAGCCTGACCTGATCTCCTGGCTGGAAGGAGAAGATGAGCATCTCTTCCTGTTCTCGGCTGAAGAGGAGGGACTGAAAGGTCTGTGTTGGGACGGTGTGTGGCTTCTGCTTCCTCCCCAGGCCGGGTGGGTTTCTTCTGTGACCTCCCTTATCCTAAGAGCTGGTTCTCCTCCAAAGAGCTGGGGTGAGTGGCGGATGCTGAAAAGGTGCCTGTGGAGGTGGAAGAGTAAATAACTAAGCGATCTGTAGCCCTCATCACTGCTTGAGGAGAGCCTAACGGGCTCGTGGCTTCATTTTCAAGAAGCTCCTCTGAACTACAGATCCATCAGTACACTAAAAAATATCACAGGACCAGATTAACAAGAAAGGGTTTTGAAAGTTTGTCTAGACACCAAGCCGTTGAATTGTGGCACTCTCAACCACAGTTAATTAAATTTGTACTCTAATGATCTTCTTCGTGGTCTCTGTGCATCACACCCTTGGGATAGTCTGCGCCTGCGCTGACCCTGCTCGGTACCGGTAGCAAGCCAAAGGGATTTTCGCGCCTGCTCCTAGGTCACGCGCCGGGCTCCACTGCGCATGACCAGGGAGAGGCACGCAGATCCCACCAGTTCTTCTCTGACCGCCGTGCTGGTAGGACGCCTTTGCTTCGGTCTGCTGAGTATTAGTTTCACTTTCTAGCTTAACCGCGTAGTTAGCCTTTTTCTTAGTCGTAGTATTTTTCTTTCGGGTTTGAAGTTGAATTATTTACTCCCCGCCGGCCTATGGCCCCGTGGTGGGGTTTCATTAAGCGGTGCAAGTCCTGTGGACTTAAAATCTCCCCCACAGACGGACACTCTTATTGCCTGGTGTGCCTAGGGGAGTCTCACCGTGTATCTATGTGCAAACATTGCCAAAAGTTTTCCGATCAAACCTGGAAAAACAGAGCTGCTCGTCTGCACTTAGCCCTGATGGAGAAGGCTCTCTCTCCTCAGTCATCTTCTCCGTTGGAGACATCCGGGCATGCTTCGATGTCGACCCTAACCCCGGATGCTCTCATTCCCACTTCGGGAACTTCGATGTCGACAGTCGCAATCGATGCTTCGGCACCAAAACGGTCGGTATCGACCAGCAACAGCTCCGTGCCTTTCAAGATCCAGAAGCAGGGGTTAACTGATGCCGCACCTTCCAAGATCCGGAAGCAGGGCAAAGACACCAAAAAGGTTGTTAAACCTAAAAAGGATGCGAAGCCTAAAGTCCATAAGGTGTCAGCTAGTCAAGGGCATGCTCCAGCTTCCTCATCTCTGGAACACAGCCAACCTGTCAATTCGCACATAGACATGGACCTCACACAGCAGGCACCATTGTCTGAATCTGATATGTCGAGCCACCAGTCCATTAATGCCTCACCAGCTCACGGCATCGACGAATGACACCGACCGTCTTCTCCACCTGTCATGACTTGGGATGAGAGACAGTGGCATTACCTTTATGGAAATAGATACCCATATCCCTGGGCTCTTCCACCACCACCTCCCCCAGTAGACTGGGATCGTCAGTCGATGTCGTCACATATATCTCAATATAGAGGTCATCGGTATCGAAGCGATCGATACCGACACCTAAACCATGTCCAGCTCTGCCACCAACGAATCCGTCGGTACCGACAGAAGTACCATCATTGCCTAACTTGCCAGCTCCGTCTCCAGAGCCATCTAATACCTCATCTGGTTCGGAAGACTTGTCTGAGCAAGGAGACGATATAGTCATGCCCTCTCCACCTCCTGATGTGGAAGCAGATCTTCCTATCTCACCATCGGAAGATGTCAAATCTTATGGTGACTTCATCCAGCGCATGGCACTGGATCTATCAATGACTCCCACGCTGATATCGCGTCTGGTAGATGACAATGTCTGACATTATGCAGTCTGGCACCTCTTCCTCGGTGGCCTTGCCCATGACAAAGGTCTTATTGCAAACTACAAGGACTTTTGGGCTCATCCCTCTTCTCTCACTGTATCAAATAAACATCTCGATCACATGTATAAGATCCAAGAGGCAGGGGCTGAGTTCCTTTTCACTCACCCAAAACCTAATTCCCTAGTAGTGTCGTCATCTACACAAGGGAAATCAAGTCATTCCACTCCTCCCGAGAAAGAGGGAAAGAAATTGGATTCTATGGGAAGAAAGTTTCATACAGTAGGAGCAATGGGCATTAAAACGTCTAATTATGCAGCCTGTATGGGTCGATACCAGTCGATACCAGTTTAATTTATGGAAGCGGATGTCTGAGTTTCTTCCTCATCTCCCTAAAGAATGTCATTCTCAAGTCAAGAAACTTCAGAATGAAGGAATGATTTTGGCTAGGCACCAGATTAATGCTGCTAAGCATACATTGGAGTCCGCGGGCAAGACCCTAGCAACTTCTGTCGCGCTGCGCAGACATGCCTGGTTGCGCTCCTCTTCCTTTCCATATGATACTAGGTCTTCGGTAGAAGACCTTCCATTTGAGGGCATTGGACTGTTCAGTTCCACTACTGACTCTGTACTACAGGAAATGGATAAAAGTATTAATACATCTAAGAGTTTAGGGATCTCTCCCTCTTCCAAATACAACAAGCCTAAACAATGGTCTAGGCAATCATGGTCACATAGACAGTCATCTAATAAGTCGCCCACTGAGCAGTGGCAAAGACCACCTGTGGCACAGTCTCGATCCTTTGGGAATAAGTCTAGAGCCCAGCCTTCTGGACAGTACAAGTCAAAGGCCCCCAAGAACCCCAAACAGGGACTTTGACTCCACTCTCAACTCAAATAAACCTCTGGCACCATTCCTCAACGTTTGGATACAAATCTCAACCAACAAATGGGTTCTATCCATCATCAAAGAAGGCTACCTCATCGAATTTCTTCAAACACCCTCGTTTTCCCACTTTGTTCAAACTCCAGCGTCACCAGTTCTACTACAGGAAGTTCAATCTCTGACATCAAAGGACGCCATAGAGCCGGTGCCAGAACTGGAGTACCGTCAAGGCTTTTCCTCTCGGTACTTCACGGTCTCGAAGAAGGACGGAGGCCTTCGCCCAATCATGGACCTCAGATACCTCAATCGGTTCATTATCTACAAAAAGTTCCAAATGACTACTCTTCACACTATTCTGCCCCTACTGTCTCCAGGGGCCTAGATGGTCACCCTGGATTTGAAAGATGCATACTTCCACGTCTCGATTCACCCTTGTCACAGACGCTTCATCAGGTTCACAGTAGGGGAGGCACATTACCAATTCAAGGCCCTTCCCTTTGGGCTTTCCACTGCCCCCAGGGTTTTTACGAAGGTGATGGTAGTCATTGTAGCCCATCTCCGCCTTCTGGGAATTCAGATATTTCCGTATATAGACGACTGGTTGCTGGTTGCGGAGTCCAAAGAGCTTCTCCTTCGTCATATAAACATCACGCTATCGACTCTCACGTCGCTGGGCGTTCTTGTGAATTTGCAGAAGTCGATGCTTCAGCCTTCGACTCGAGTACAGTTCATAGGAGCCGTCATCGACTCGAAAGACACCAGGGCTTATCTACCGTGTCAGAGGGCAGAATCGATTTGTCAAGAAATCCGTCAGCTATTTCTGTCAAATATAACCTCTGCAGTTCGCATTCAGAGATTGTTGGGACTGATGGCAGCCACCACCTCGGTCATCGAGGGTGCATGCCTGCGAATGCTTCCGTTGCAGATATGGTTCCTAAAGAAGTTCCGTCCACTTATTCACTCTCCAAATCTAGTCATGAAGATTCCCCCTCATGTCCTCCATTCCCTCCGATGGTGGCTAGTGGAAGCTAATCTCTTTGCGGGGGGGGGGGCCTTCCAACCACCTGTTCCTTCGGTGTCAATCACCACGGACGCTTCTATGTGGGGCTGGGGTGCTCACACAGAAGGAAAATGTGTGGGTGCACCATGGGACTCTCAGTGGAAACATCGTCACATCAATTATCTGGAACTGTTGGCAGTACACTATGCTCTCAGATCCTTCCAGCGACTAATAGCAGGAAGAGTAGTGATGATATTGATGGACAATACAACAACAATGGCTTATATCAATCGCCAGGGAGGAACCATGTCCAGAGCTCTATGCAAGTTGGCCTTGACTATTTGGGAAGAATGTCTCCAATGGAATACTACCATCCAAGCGGCCCATCTGCCAGGGGTCATGAATCTTCAGGCAGACTTCCTGAGCAGAGGGGGAGCGACGGACCACGAGTGGGAACTCAATTGGGAGTACTTTACACCCATTTTCCGTCAACTGGGCCATCCAGAAATAGACGTCTTTGCGAACCGTCACAACACAAAATGTTGCATGTTCTGTTCCAGGGCAGGGACGGATCCTCTGTCCTTAGGGGACGGTCTCCTGATCTCGTGGTCACATCACTTTGTGTACCTTTCCCCCCCTCTTCCGCTCATTCAAAGAGTTCTTGTCAAAATCCAGCAGGACAAGCCTCATTGTCTCCTTGTAACCCCATGGTGGCCTCGTCAACCATGGTTTCCTGTGCTGCTTCATCTGTCCAAGCGCTCCTTCATACACTTTCCTCGGACGATGGATCTTCTACTGGCCCAGGGAGGCCAGATCCTCCATCACGATCCCTTGAGTCTCAACCTAACGGTGTGGAACATTCGCTTTCCGATTTGAATAAGAGAATAGATGATGTCCTCTTAAATTGTCATAAACTTTCTACGAGGACGTCATATGATAGGAAATGGAACAAATACTTACTTTCCCTGAAACTTACTTACTTTCCCTGAACAAATACTTACTTTCCCTGAAATTGCCTCCACCTCCATCTGACTTGAGGTCGATTTTTGGCTTTATTTTGTCCAGATTGGACATAGTTTTGCTTCGGTGAAGGTTTATTTGGCTGCGGTGTCAGCAAACCACCCTTCTATCGATGGATTTTCAGTTTTTTCCCATCCTCAGACCAAGAAGTTTTGTAAAGGTCTCATTCGTCTGTACCCACCTAGTCGTACTCCTACTCCGGCCTGGGACTTGCCATTGGTTTGATCCTTTTGACAGGGAAGCCTTTTGAGCCATTGGCTACGTGTAGTCTGAAGTTACTGTCGTTGAAGACTGCGTTTCTAGTAGCCATTACATCTGCTCGCAGAGTGAGCGAGTTGTCTGCACTGAGGTGTGACCCTCCGTCTTTGAGTTTTTCCCCACAGGGGGTTTCGTTGGCCTTAGATATTTCCTTTTTGCCTAAAGTTGTTTCAGAGTTTCATTTACACTCTGATATAGTTCTTCCGTCATTTTTTCCGTCTCCATCCACTGAGGAGGAACGTAGGCTGCATTCTCTGGATGTTAAGAGAGCGCTGTTGTTTTATCTCGGTAGGACTAAATCCTTCCGTAAGTCCCCAGCATTATTCGTCGCTCATGGTCTACCCTCTCAAGGGAAGAAGATCTCCTCCCAGCGTCTGTCCAAATGTATTGTGGAGGTTATTAAGCTGTGTTATACTTTGGCGAGAAAGCTGCTCCCAGGGCAGCTTCGAGCACACTCAACACGGGCAGTGGCCACTTCTACAGCTTTCTTGAGAGGTGCATCGTTGGAGGACATCTGTAACGCTGCCACTTGGGCTACTCCTCTCACCTTCGTGAAGCACTACGCTCTTGATACCCGGTTCAGTCACCGTACGGCAGTGGGTCGAGCGGTGTTGCAGACAGCACAGAAGTAGGGCCTTGGCCCCTCCTCCAGGTAAGCGTTTACTGCTTGCTAATCTCCCAAGGGTGTGATGCACAGAAACCGCGAAGAAGATAGACAGGTTGCTTACCTGTAACTGGTGATCTTCGAGTGACCACTGTGTTTCCTGATCCATTGTTCATAATCTTCATGACAAGTCTCTCTTTCTTTCAGACAGCGGTATGGGGAGAATTCACAGAGAGGCGAAAAAATGCCTAGACAGTGCAAAAAGCTTCAGCTGGAGTGACAATCCTATTTCCCATCAAAAAGTTTATACAGGGGAGAAATCACATCAATGCCTTGAATCTAACAGCAGCTTCAGTCCCAGAAAAAAACTTATTTACCATCAGAGAATTCACAAAGGGCTGAATGCTAATAGATGCCTGGAGTGTGGAAAAGGCTTTCGGTGCAAGGCTAAGTTAACTTCACATCAGAGAATTCATACAGGGAAGAAACCATATAAATGTCTGGAGTGTGGAAAGTGCTTTACTAGGAAAGGAAGCCTTACTTACCCTAAAAGAATTCATACAGGGGTGAAACCCTATAAATGTCTGGAGTGTGGAAAAAGCTTCCGACGGAATAATATATTAACCTTCCATCAAAGAACTCACACAGGCGAGAAACCATATAAATGTTTGAAGTGTGGAAAAAGCTTTTCATGGAAGAATAGTCTAACTTCTCATCAAAGAACTCACACAGGAGAGAAACCATATAAATGTTTGAAGTGTGGAAAACTCTTCAGGCACAAGGCAAACCTTACTTACCATGAAAGAATTCATACAGGAGAAAAACCATATAAATGTCTAGAGTGTGGAATAAGCTTTTCACAAAGGTATAGTCTAACTTCCCACCAAATAATTCACACAGGGGAGAAACCATATAAGTGCCTGGAATGTGGGGAAAGCTTTTCATGGAAGAAGATTCTAACTTCCCATCAACGAATTCACACAGGGAAGAAACCATATAAGTGCCTGGAATGTGGAAAAAGCTTTTCATGGAAGAATACCCTAGCTTCCCATCAACGAATTCACACAGGGGAGAACCCATATAAATGCCTGGAATGTGGGAAAAGCTATACACGGAAGGATACTCTAACTTCCCATCAACGAATTCACACAGGGGAGAACCCATATAAATGCCTGGAATGTGGAAACTGCTTTAGTCACAAAGGAAGCCTTACTTCCCACAAAAAAATACATACAGGGGAGAAACCATATACATGTCTAGAATGTGAGAAAAGCTTTCGATGCAAAGATAAATTAACTACCCATCAAAGAATTCACACAGGGGAGAACCCATATAAATGCCTGGAATGTGGGAAAGGCTTTCCTTGGAAGGCTACCCTAACTTCCCATCAACGAATTCACACAGGGGAGAACCCATATAAATGCCTGGAATGTGGAAACTGCTTTAGTTGCAAAGGAAGCCTTACTTCCCACAAAAGAATACATACAGGGGAGAAACCATATACATGTCTAGAATGTGGGAAAAGCTTTCGATGCAAGGATAAATTAACTTCCCATCAAAGAATTCACACAGGCGAGAAACCATATAAATGCCTGGAATGTGAGAAAAGCTTTTCACGGAAGGATAAGCTAACTTCCCACCAAAGAACTCACACAGGGGAGAACCCATATAGATGTCTGGAGTGTGGAAAAAGCTTTTCACGGAAGGGTAATCTAACTTCCCACCAAAGAATTCACATATTAAAGGAAGCATAGAAATTTCTGGATTGTGGAAAAGCATTCCATCAAAGAAAAGTAGATGGGACAATTAGAAACCAACCTTATTTCTGTCTCAGTGGTGCCTCCTTAAACTATTTTCTTTCTGTACAAAAGAAAGATTCCAGTCTAGATATCTGAAGAAGTGAGCTGTGACTCACGAAAGGTCATCCCCCTGGCACAAATATAGTTCGTCATTAAGGTGCTACCATGCCCTCGCTCTTTTCTACTGGTACAGACAGACCGACACGGCTACCCATTGCATTCTATTTCATATCTTTCTGTGAAAAGCTAGAATTGTGGGAGTTTTCCTCTCCTTGTTGGGCAGGACATTCTCCCAAGTGGGAGCCACATGAGCCAGTCATCCTGTACGTGTTGCTCTCAGTCTCACCCATGATCTTTGCACAGAAGAGCAATCCAGTTGTAATAGATCGTATTGAGAGAAGGAGTCCTGTAGCTCTGTACACCTGAAGCCCTGAAAGACTTTGCCAATACCAGCCAGCCCCTTGACATAAACTGAAAATCTAAACAATGTCTAAAGGAGCAACTCAGATTTCTCCCAGATTCATTCCGTGCCTCTCCTCGAATTGTAATCAATCTCCGACATTCTGTACCAGCTGGAGATGCTGACTTCAAGGATGGGCCCATGTAGAGTACATTATGGTAGACTGGCTGACTGGTTTCTGTGTTTTTGATTTTCATTGTGTGTATTGATTCTATTCTGAGCATTCGTGTCTCTAATATTTCCTGTATTAAGAGGAGAATTAACTGTTGTGCTTCTTAATAAACTGGAGGCTGCAGGAGAAATATTGGGTTGTTCATTTAGTTAGCAAGTAACATCTTACCCAGGGTCCTGGAGAAATAATTTTGGATCTTCAGATAAATCCATTGATCATGCGGCATTGTTTTTAATATTTTGGATTAATATGGTGAAAATATTTTTATGGACTTCATGAGTTATTTAAAAGACCTCTCTTGGCTTTCTGTAATTGGGAAAAGTCTTTCTTTAGCTGGACGGGCCAACCACACGGTTAAGGGCTGCCTCCTCTGTGGAGAGGTCCAGCTGCTCTCATGGACTCGGCCGCAAAGAACGTGAACCTCCTACTGGCTGCCCTGAGTGTTGTCATACCTGTTTCTCCACCCTCTAACCAGATCAGGTGAGTGTGAAAAAGACACTTTTCCTGCAGCCTCCTGAAGTTTCTGTTTCTTTCTTGAAAGGGGGGGGGGCTTTACCCACCATTTCCTCTCTTGCTAGAGAGATTTGTAAGAATAAGCTGAGGTATTGTCTTGCTGCATTGATTCCCCTCCCCCCTTCCCTGTTCGCTGCCCCAAGGCGGGAGACCATTAAAACACCAAAAGAAGGTTTTGCTGTCCTCATTCCTTCACCGAAAAAAAATGCATTTCTTCACACAGGGTTCTGAAGAAATCATTTTGAATGTTCAGAGAAATCAATTGATTAGGAGGTATTCTTTTTAATATTCTAGATGAAGAGGGTGAAAGGATTTCCTTATGGGCTTCATGAGTTCGTTATCAGGCCTCTCCATAGTTTTCTGAAATTGAGTGAAATATGTATCCTGGAATATTTTCAATTTAACACTTAGGAAGACACTTCACCACTGGTTCGATGGGAAGCTATGAAGGGTGTTCTCTGGGGTAAAGAGATTTAATAATTACTTAAATTAAAGATTAGCTCTTTGGAATCCAGGCACAAAAAAATTTGGAAGCAAAAAAGTTTATAAAAGACTCCTAGCCGCTAGGAAAGAATTAGACTCTCTAGAAAATATGCAAGTTCTTAAAAACCTATTATATCTTAAACAACATTACTGGCCTATGAATTCAAAACACATAAGACTACTTTCTTGGAAAGTACGTCAAAAACAAGGCAGAAAGACACATTAACTGTGTCAGGGAAACTAAAAAATCCCTGACCTATGACACCCAAAAAATAATTAAAATATTTTTGGAGTATTATACAAATTTATACAATTCTAAAAATTCATCTTTGACTAAAATTGAAGAATTCTTTAAAACAACACACTGCTATATACCAATTTCCAAAGTTCATAGTTCTATAATGGAAAACTATGTTACACCACAGGAAATTACTACAGTAATCAAATCTTTAAAAAATAACAAAACTCCAGGTGGGGACGGATTCCCACCTGAGTTTTATAAAAAAAACTAGTTCATCTCCTCGCATCTCCTTTAGCTGATGTATGTAACTTTATTTTAGATAATGATATAATGCCTGATACCTGGTCAGATTCAAATATTATAGTTTTGCCAAAAAAGGACAGAGACCTTTCCAACCCATCATCATACAGGCCCATTGCATTACTGAACCAGGATTATAAAATATTCACAGCTGTATTAGCTGCAAGACTAAATCTTTTTATCGCTGAATATATACATCCAGACTAAACTGGTTTTATTTTAAATAGAGACATGGTTAATAATGTTCGTAAGTCGTTAGAAATCATAAATTATTGCAAAATATTTCATAAGGAGGCTATAATTTTATCATTTGACATGGAGAAAGCCTTTGATAGTGTGGAAATAAGTTATCTTAACTCTCTTTTATTTTATATGGGCTTCGAAGGTAAATTTTTAAACGCAATTCAGGGTCTTTATGCTACTCCCGAGGCTCAAATTAAAATAAATGGCTCCACTTCAGAAAGCTTTAATTTAAACAGAGGTACTCGCCAGGGTTGCCCCTTATCGCCAATTTTGTTTGCCTTGGCGATAGATCCCTTAGCAAATTATATTAGACATAACAAAATCATCACCGGACTTTTAATTAATCAAAATGATTTTAAATTATGTTTGTTTGCTGATGATATGGTTATGTACATCACGAATCCTAAAACTTCTTTACCACTGGACTACTAAATATATGACCAATTTAGGTATAAAAATTCCACTTGACCTTACGGATTTACTATCACTTAATTATTTCTCTCTTATTGAATCTTTAACAATTTTAATGAAAGAGTGGCACAAACTAGTCTTGTCTTGGTTAGACAGAATTTACATTTTTAAAACGATACTCTTCCCTAAACAATTGTTCTTATTTAGAACATTACCACTAAATATACCCTATAGTGTGTTAAATTCTTGGCAAATTTTTTGGGGGGATTTATTTGGAGTTATAAAAAAACTAGAATTAGCTATAAAATCCTTTGTAAACCTCAAAGTTCTGGTGGTTTGAACGTCCCAGACATTTTCAAATACTATAACGCAACACATCTTTGCTTTGTTGTTTCAATGATGAAGCCTGCTGATTTTTTTGCTGAACCTAATAGTTGGAACATTATAGCACAAGCTTATACTCCAAAACAATTTCTACATTAATCAATCTGGAATTTAAGTTTAGAAAGACCCAAAATAATTAAGTCTAATCCATTTTTATCAAGTAATTTAAAGGTCTGGGACTTACACAGGAGGCAGTTAGTACTTTCCCCTTCCCTTTTGTCCACTTTTTGGGGACAATATTGGTTCAAACCGGGACTTGACAAATCTGAATTTAAAATATGGCGCCAAAACAACTTGTTTAGACTTATAGATATTTTTTTAAAAAGGTAAGCTTTTGGGAATAGCTACTTTGGAGGCCTCTATATCGCAAAACCTGCCCCCTTATCTGACTGATAGTACGTTAGTACGCAATTCAGTAAACAATCCTTTAACTAAATTTGAAATATTACTTAAAGCTTCTTTTTATGATCACAAAGGATTACTATCTAAAATTTATACCATTTTGCATACATTAACAAAATCTCTTATTTTTCCATACCAAAAGGCATGGAACAGAGATTGTAACTTACATCTGACTGAAACCCAATGGCTAGATATTTGGTCATCTAATATTTACTCTACAAATATCATGAATATTAAACAATTATCTTTCAAACTATTAACAAGATGGTATCTAACCCCAGTAAAACTGAATTACGCACACCCAAACATTCCTTCATTTTGCTGGAAACAGTGCTCCCAGAAAGGCACATATATTCATGTTTGGTGGAATTGCCCGCTCATACAAGATTTTTGGATTAAAATTTTATATCAAATCAAACTCATCACTAACTATGATGTGCCCCTTTTACCCAAAACAATTTTGTTGAATTTTTGGCATGATGATGCCATCCCAAAAAATACAAGAGACCTTATAGCCATCCTCCTAGTAGCAGCCAAACTAACTTTAGCCTCAAAATGGAAAGAATCTTATGTACCGACAGTATCGCATTGGGTTAATAAAGCTTTGGGATTTTTTTGTTATGGCAAAAATCTCAGATAAGAGAGTCTCATACCTATACCTCGAAGTTAGCTGAAACTTGGTTTCCTGTATTAATATATCTTAACACGACAGCAAAAGAGCCCTATAACAAGTTATACACAAAATTTGCACATTTTAAATTTCTATCTTGTATATATGTATTTTTGCTTCTGACTTGTGTTTTCATATTCAATAATAATTATTGTTGTTTGTAATTGTTATTGTTATATTTTTGAAAATTCAATAAAAAAATTTTTTTAAAGAAATATGTATCCTGAGTTATTGTGGGAGGTGGGGGGATGGATTAAAAAGAAACTAAGGCTGTGCTCCTCAACCTTGTGGCACCATCGAGGATTTTCCAAATTTTGAGAACAGATACTGGTTGCAGGAACAAAAAATGGCTTCCACAAATGTGTGATTTTTCTGGTGTAATCTGTGACGATGGGAATGATGTGATTTGAAAGTGAATTTGGAATGAGCCAACAGATAAATCCTGAGGATCCATGCATTGGAACAAATTTTTTGTGCCATGGCAATTCTACACAGCAGTGACTGATTTTTGTGCTACAATCTGTGGCCATGAACATAATATATGACTTCATGGTGAACTTGTGTGACCCAACAGCAAAATACTGAGGGTCTGTGAGGTTCCTCATTTTGGAACCACTTTTTTGTCCTATGGTGGTGCCATGAAGAGATGAATGTGAGATTTTTGTGGTGTTGCCTATAGACTAAGACGCTATCTTCAATATAACAGTGGTTTTATTTTATTTCAATATAAAGAGTCCACTGAGGTGGGGCTAAAGAGCTGGAATATTCCATATGGAGGTGGGGGAAGGTGCCGTTTTCCCAGAGTGACTGGAGGGCCTGAAGCAGCCAGTAGCTTACTTCAGAACGACTCCAGCTTTTCTGTAAAACTACACATTGATATTGTCGGGCAGGGGTGTCAAACCCATTTAAACTCATTTATTATGAGGACCGGATCTGACTTAGATGAGAGCTTGTTGGGCCGAGCCATGTGTGTCATAAAAAGGTATGCCAGGTAGCAAAGATATAAAACTTATAAAGGATACAGACACACACAATTAAAGATTTTTAAAACTTTAAATAAAACATGTCTCCTGTTTATGATTGAGGCAGCCAGGCCAGGAAGCGAACTCTGGCTGGTTCCCTCCATCCCCCTGGGAGGAGCCTCAGCCAAAGCTTTACTAGACTCAGTCGCACAAGAGAGGCCTGCCTATCTATCTCTCCTGTGTGGTTGAGAGAGTCTGGTAAAGTAAGCTGTGATGTAACCACAGCAGCAGAACTGGAAATGGAATCAGGAAATAGCCAGGGTCTCGCAGGTGGGATTGTAGCCCTACGAGGGCCTGGTCCGGCCCCCGGACCACGTGTTTGACACCCCTGTTCTAGTGCTACCAGAAATTATTGAGGGGGGGAACCACATACCAACACAGAGCAGAGCGGCCACTTGATCCATCTTTAAGGGACTGACTAGACAGAAGTCAGAAAAGACTGAGACTCTGTTCGGCTCGGATACAAGCCTTAACTTACATGTGCTATGGTTGCCAGCCTCCAGGTAGCACCTGGAGATATGTTCTTGCAGTTGATCTTCAGACGGCCAAAATCAGTTCTCCTGGGGAAAATGGCTGCTTTGGAAGGTGGAATCTGTGGCATTATACCTTCAAGGTGTCCCTCTCCTGCTCAAACCCTGCCCTATCCTGGCTCCACTTGAAAAATCAGTACAAAATTAACATATTGCTGAACAAGTTCTTTAGACTTTAACAGTATATTCAAAGTTGATATTTTTTATTCCAATGGAATATTTTTTATTCCAATATCAACTTTGAATATACTGTTAAAGTCTAAAGAACTTGTTCAGCAATATGTTAATTTTGTACTGATATCCTGTTGCTGGGTCCTTTGTTGAAAACAATTGTGTCCACTTGAAAAATCTACAGGGGTTTCCCAGCCCAGAGCTGGAAACCCCATAAACATTTAAATTCTTGGTAGATATACTTAATTGTTGTTGCATCCACTGTGTCTTATGAGGAAAAGAAAGTTGGAAGTTGTTTCCATGAATGTGTCACAAGGTGGCCCCTTGCTGTCAAAGAAGTGAACTTGCTCAGTTCTTTAACTGAAATTTTTAAAATGTTTGATATGTTGCCAGCTCCTCCTTGCCCACCGACAGGGGATGGGGGATAGGATTGCGAGATCCACTGGAGATTTGGGGATGGAGCCCACTGGGGAGGACAGGGGACCTCTGTGGGGGTACAGTGCCATAGAGTCCACCCTCCAAAGCAGCCATTTTCTCCAAGGGACCTGATCTCTGTAGTCTGGCGATGAGCTGTCATTCCATCCCTAAATGAACCCGAAGTGACATTGGCATCACTGAAATTCTGGAAAGTGTTGGCTCCGTGTCCTTCTGGCTGAGTCCCTGCTCCTAGCTTTGACACTGAATTTGGGGGAGCCCCCTTAAAGAACCGGAGCAAGGGTGGCCAAACCGTGGCTTGGGAGCTGAGTCAGTGTGAGCCAGCTCACCGTTTCTTAGCCTCCGGCTCACTCAGTTTTGTCCCATGGTGGTCCTTGCTCAGGAAGGGAGGGCTCCAGAGCAAGCTAATTCATGCAGTGGCCCAATCACCTGCTCACAAATTTAATGCCGGTGGCTCACAACGTAGAATATTTGCTCACAGGACTCCACAGCTTAGCGGGAGCCTTGTTTGCAACCATGGGAGTCTCTCCAAGGGTCAAAGCGAGGGATTCCCCGTCCTAGAGAGGCATGTGGGGGGCGGGGGAACCTTTTCCGGCTAGTCTTGCAGAAGCTTCCTCTGATTTCCCCCCCGCCTGCTGCTTGAATGCACGGGAAGGAGCGGGTGAGCTCAAAGGGGTGGGTTTTTTTTGGGGGGGAGGGGTGGAGAAATGAGGCGGGGGGGCTGCAATGCAAGACCCCCAAGTGGAGAGAAAGTGTGTGTGTGGGGGGGGGGGCAGTAAATGGGGAGGAGAGACCCTACACGCACCCACACACCCACTCCCGTATCCGCAAAAGCTGCTTGGAGCAAAGACAAAGAAATCCCCAAAGAAGATCCGGGGAAATTGCCCCAGGCGTCATAAATCAAACCCGGGGAGGGGGAGATTCGGGTGGAGAGGGAGATTTGGAAGGGGGGGGGAAGAGGAGAGACCCCCACACACACACACCAACACACTCTTCTTCTGCCCCTCCGTTTCTTCCCCACCCGACCCCCAGCAGGTTTTGGCTTCTTTGCTCATCGCATTCTCCCCAGCAGTGCAGCCTTTTGTCCGTTGCGCTTTGGGAAGCCAGCGGGAGGGCGACGGTTGCCAAGTCACGTCTGGGAAATTCCTGGAGATTTGGGGGACGGTTCGTGGGGAGTGGAGGGTTTGGGCAAGGGAGGGAGCACACAAGGCAAGACCCTCTGGGGCACTCCCTGAAATTGCTGAGCAGTCGGGTTAGAACGGATAAAAGGGAAGTCCTTTCCTCCAGTTTGGTCGGGTTACAACAACGGATAAAAGGAAGCCCTTTCCTCCAGTTTGGTGTCCTGGTTAAGTGCGCTGGACTCTAATCTGGGAGAGCCGGGTTTGATTCCCCACTCCTCCACTCGCACCTGGCTGGATGAGCTTGGGCAAGCCCTAGTTCTGATAAGAGCTGTCTTTGAAAAAGAGCCGGTGCTGTCAGAGCTCTCTCGGCCCCACCCACCTCACAGGGTGTCTGTTGTGGGGAGGGGAAGGGAAAGGAGTTTGTAAGCCCCTCTGAGACGCAGAGTGAAGGGCGGGGTATAAATCCAATCTCCTACTACTATTCCTCTGCTTCACCCAAAGAGTGATTCACACCTGGGATTCACTGCCACCGGAGGGGGTGGCGGTTACAAGCATGGACGGCTTCAAGAGAGAACTGGGTAAACATCTGGAGCAGAGGTCCACCAGTGGCTATTAGCCACAAGGTATAGATAGGAACTCTCAGTCTGGGGCAAGTGATGCTCTGTATTCTTGGTGCTTGGAGGAGGCAACAGTGGGAGGGCTTCTAGTGTCCTCTGCTGGACCTCCTGATGGCACCTGGTGTTTTTGGCCACTGTGTGACAGAGTGTTGGACTGGATGGGCCTTTGGCCTGATCCAACATTGCTGTCTCTTATGTTCTTCTGAAATTCCGTGTTGCTAAGTGTAAAATGGTGCACTTTGGGGCAAAAGATCCCAACTTCCAAGTCTAGGCTAAAGAGGGGTTTGAGCTTGCTGAGCCTGAGAGGGAAAAAGATCTTGGGGTCGCGGTGGAAAGCTCAAGGAAAGGGTCTGCTCAGTGTGCTGCAGGGGCGAACAAGGCAAACTCTGTGTTAGGGACTGTTAGGAAAGGGACTGGGAGTCAAACAAGCAATATTGTTACGCCCCCATTATAGATCTGTGGTGCGGCCTAATTTGGAATCCAGTTCTGGTCACCGTAACACTAAAAGACATAACAGAGCTGGAAGAAGTACAGAGGGGGGCTACCAAGACTGAAAGGGGTTTGGGCCCCTTCCCTAAGAGGAATGGCTGAAGAGCCTGGGACTTTTAACTTTAGAAAAGAGATGGGGGGGGGGATATGATAGAGGTTTTTCAAATTATGCTTGGGGTGGAGAGAGTTGACAAAGAGAAATTTTACTCCCTCTCCCAAAAGACTACAACTCGAGGGCGTCCAATGAAGCTGACGGGCAGTAGGCTCAGGAAAGACAAAAATAAATGCAACTTTACACAGAGTTTGATTAAAATGTGGAATTCACTGCCAGAGGATGTAGTGTTGGTCACAGCAGTGAACAGCTTGAAAATGGGATTAAGTAGATTCACATAGGATCGGTCTATCTATGGCTACTATCCCTGGTGACTGTGGGGAACCTCCACGTTCAGAGGCACTAATCCTCTGAATCCCAGAGCCAAGAGACAAAATCAAGGAAAAGACTCTGCCTTGTGGCTGGCCATCCAGAGGAACTGGTTGACCACTGTGCGAGACAGGATGCTGGACTAGATGGACCACTGGTCTGATCCAGCGGGGCTCTTCTTATGTTCTTATGAAGACCTCGGCCTCTATGCCCTGTGGCTGACCCGCCAAAGGAACTGGTTGACCACTGTATGAGACAGGATGCTGGACTAGATGGACCCTCACTGGTCTGATCCAGCAGGGCTCTCCTTATGTTCTTTCTAGGGGAAGGCCTTGGCCTCTGTGCTCTGTTGTTGGTCCTCCAGAGAAACTGGTTTGCCACTCTGTGGTATGGGATGCTGGACTGGATGGACCACTGGACTGATCCAGCAGAGCTCTTCTTATGTTCCTAACCCCAGGATCTCGAATCGTGCTCTGAAGCAAACCTAGAGAGAGAGTCGCTCTGGGGACTGGAACAGAAATTATATGTGCAGCAAAAAAGGTTTTCCTTCCATTTTTTTTTCACCCTCCCAGGCAGCAGCGAAAAGAAACCCTCGATGCCTTCTTCGCCGTCTCCGTGTGGTGTGGAGAAAAGAACCACCATGAAGCCTGCTCAGGTAGGCTTCGCTCTACCCTTGCTCTCTCGTAGTGTTTTCACACACACTGAATAATGCACTTTCAGTCTGCTTTCAAAGCACTTTAGCAATTGTCTGCAAGCAGATTTTGCCATTTCTCCCAGTAAATTCCAGTCGCAAAGTGCATGGAAAGTGGGTCGAAAGTGCATAATTCAGCATGTGTGAAAACAGCTTCAGACACACCCACAAAAACTGGAAATAGGAAAGAAGTTTCCGACTCTGCCACCCCTTTGGCCGTTGCCTCAACGGATCTGCTCCTCTCCCAGCTAGGAAGGAACTGCGTAGACTCAACTCCTGCTCTTCTCAGGAGAGCATCGACCACTCTTGCCTACCCAGGTAGCAATTCAAGTGAGGAGGGAGTTAAAAACATCTGTGTCTCCTTCAGCACCCCGGAGGGCAAGCCCTGGCTCTCCTCTCGGCCGAATACCAGGGTGCTTCTTACACGCTCCAGTCCTCCTCTCTCCGGAAGCACCTTCCTCCTAGAGGCCGAGCAGAGAGGTCGAAGGAGGAGGAGGAAGCCAGAGCAGGTGGCCGTCGGGTAGCCCCCCGTGAGTGCCGGCCGCCCCTCTGTCCCCAGAGAATACCCCAAGGAGAGCCGGGAAGGGGACGCCTCAGGGCCCCGATCCCCTCCTGGCTGCTGCTGTTCAGGAATCATTGTAATACCCGTGTTTGGATTTATTCCTCATGAACCAATTTCCCAGGGATGGGAAGGATTACCTTCTTCTTCCTCTTCCTCCTCCAGGATCCGGTGTCCTTCGAGGAGGTGGCCGTGTACTTCACCCGGGGGGAGTGGGCCCTGCTGAGCCCAGCCCAGAAAGCGCTCTACAAGGACGTCATGCTGGAGAACTTTGGGAACGTGGCCGCTCTGGGTGAGAGATCTTTTCTTCTTGACGCTGTTGAGTGTGGCTAAGAGTCTCCTCTTTTCGTAGTTGCTGTTGAGGAAGGATGTGTTCAGTCCCTCTAGACTGCCTGTTCTGAGAGACTTCCAACATAGAATCATAGAACGTTAGAGTTGGAAAGGACCTTGCAGGTCATCTAGTCCAACCCCCTGCACTCTGCAGGAGCATAGCTGAAAGATAGCCCTACATACCTACAACATACCCAAAAGATGGCCCTCCAGCCTCCGCTTGAAAACGTCCAGCGAAGGAGCATCCACCACCTCCTGAAGCATCCATCTTGAGGGTTCTCTACCAGGGCCGGCCCTGGATTTTTAGCCTGGTTGATTGCCACGGGTCTCTCTTAAGTTGTTATGTGTCCAACACATGGAAAAGGTTACAACTTGAGCTTTAATCCTTTCAGGGAAGATCAGGTTTTGAGGTTGGAAGTTTGGCCCATACAACAATCTGACCCCTGTCTACTCAAGATTTTGTTGTTGTTCAGTCGCACAGTCGAGTCCGACTCTTCGCGACCCCATGGACCAGATCACGCCAGATCACTCAAGATGGGGGAATGCAATTCAAACACTTATAGTGAAGGGGGGAACAGGGCAAAATGTCTGCCCATGGAGCAGTGTTCCTTCTACGCTGCACTAGGGGTGCTGGCGCACAAAATTTTAACTAGCTGCTCAGGGGTTTCCCCTTCCAGCTCGCAAGCATTTTTTTGCCTCCATTGGAAACATTGGAGGATGGGGATACCTCCTTCTGGGGACCATAGAATTGCAAACCATTTTCCAATCTCTTTTAAACTTGGGTTTGGTTTGGTGTTTTTTTGAGTGGCACCAGCAGCTTTTCTGCAAATGTGGTTCCTCTGCCTCAAAAAATAGCCCCTCCCCGAGCCCTAGATATATTCAGATTGATTCTCCATCATAGCCTATGGGGCCCATTTACTATAATGGTCCTTGTAGGCTATAATGGAGCGGGGGGGGGATAATTTTTTTTTTTGCACACCCCTATTATACTTTTTAGTATGATTCGTAAGTTGCCTTGAGTCACAGTAAAGGTGGGATGTAAATATTTCAATAAAATAGTAGTTTGGGCAGGTTGATAACATTTAAGCAACGTCCTGTTAGTTAGGTTAGGCAGGGCTCTGGCAGTGATTGTTCCACCTCTTTTTACATTTTTCTTTTTCAAAACAGTTCATTATAATAGTGACTGTAATGTAATGCAATGTATTGCTGTTCTCTGACAAAACACTGCACACAGTTTACTACTCTTACCAATTAAGACTATAATTGAGAATGTAGTGTAATTTGATCTGCTCCATGGGGTCGCGAAGAGTCGGACTCGACTGTGCGACTGAACAACAAAAGTGTAATTTGGAATGGTAATTTTAATGTAATTTTCTGTTCTGGGGACAAGAAAAATACTCTACACAGCCAATGCCCAACTTGAAAGAAAAAGATCCTGTAAATTTTGTACCCTTGCTCAAGAGGAGATGGATGGACCCTAATGACATGACTCTCAACATTAGGGGTACACCAGTCTCCAATTCTGACATGTTTATTGGCTGTACTACCGCCCCCCAACCCAAGCTGATGATAGCCACACAAAAAAGCTTGTTCTTTTTTTAACCTGTTAAAAACATCTTCACTGTTTTGCATGCTGGTTTTTTACCCACCCTATATATGTTCATCTGATATTTCTGGTTCAATTTAATTGGCTGACAAAGTGTTTAAAAAAAAACTCCCAAAGTTGACTGCAAGAATCCCCCCCCCCCCAAAAAAAAATGCTGGTATGTTTTCTAATGCTCAGTGCAGGGTGACGGTCCGAGGTCAGGTCAACCAATATAGTGGACTGGGGTGGATAGACCTTTTCTCCAGTGGCCAGGTCTACTAAAATAGTGAAAAGGGTAGGTATCTGTTCTCCGGAGGCCAGGTCTACCAATATAGTGGATTGGGGTGGGTAGACCTGTTCTTCAGAGGCTAGGTCTACCAATATAGCAGACAGGGGCAGGTAGACCTGGCCTCCGGAGGCCAGGTCTACCAATATAGTGGATTGGGGTGGGTAGACCTGTTCTTCAGAGGCCAGGTCTACCAATATAGCAGACAGGGGCGGGTAGACCTTTTCTCCGGAGGCCAGGTCTACCAATATAGTGGATTGGGGTGGGTAGACCTGTTCTCCAGAGGCCAGGTCTACTAATATAGTGAAAAAGGTAGATAGATCTGTTCTCCGGAGGCCAGGTCTACCAATATAGTGGATTGGGGTGGGTAGACCTGTTTTTCAGAGGTCAGGTATACCAATATAGCAGACAGGGGCAGGTAGACCTGTTCTCCGGAGGCCAGGTCTACCAATATAGTGGAAAGGGATGGGTAGAGCTGTTCTCCAGAGACCAGGTCTACCAATATAGTGGAAAGGGAAGGGTATAGATCTCTTCTCCGGCGGCCAGGTCTACCAATGTAGTGGAAAGGGAAGGGTATAGACCTCTTCTCCAGAGGCCAGGTCTACCAATGTAGTGGAAAGGGAAGGGTATAGACCTCTTCTCCGGAGGCCAGGTCTACCAATGTAGTGGAAAGGGACGGGTATAGACCTCTTCTCCGGAGGCCAGATCTATGAATATAGTGGAAAGGGAAGGGTATAGACCTCTTCTCCGGAGGCCAGGTCTACAAATGTAGTGGAAAGGGAAGGGTATAGACCTCTTCTCCGGAGGCCAGGTCTACCAATGTAGTGGAAAGGGAAGGGTATAGACCTCTTCTCTGGCGGCCAGGTCTACCAATGTAGTGGAAAGGGAAGGGTATAGACCTCTTCTCCGGAGGCCAGGTCTACCAATATAGTGGAAAGGGATGGGTAGAGCTGTTCTCCAGAGACCAGGTCTACCAATATAATGGAAAGCAGACGAGTAGACCTGTTCTCCAGAAGCCAGATTACCAAAATAGTGGAAAGGGGAGGGTAGACCTCTAGGCCTCATCTACCCCCATAGAGGTCAACATTTTCTGCAATAAAATTTGACTTGAAACTGTTTTCTCCTGTAATGTTTAACTTATTCTTAAGATATAGTTTAAAAGATTTCATTCTGAGATTTTTACAAGGTCATGGAAATACTCTTCCCCAAAATTAATTTATACAATAGTCAAATGTAGACTTGCCCACAAACTCTAATGCTACTAGCTTTTTTCGATCACAAGGTAGAATTTTTGCTCACAACACTGTTGACCTTAGCGGGAACAGTGCCATAGAGTCTCATAATTCCTACCACATTCCCTAATGCTCTGGAACGTTTTAGGTTTCCAAATGGGTGTTCTGATGGGACCTTGGAAAATGAAGCTCCTAGAAATTACTGAAAAGGTTATCCCTCACGGACCTCTCCTGCCCTTGGGGCAGAACCGGGCCCTGTTGTTTCCAATGAACACAGAGACCTGTAAGGGTCCAACACATGTGAGCCAGCAGAGTAATTAACTCATGGAATTCACTGCAGTGGGAAGTTGTGGTGGATACAAGCAATGACAGCTTCAAAATATGTGGTGCAAAGGGCAGCAACGGGGAGGATTTCTGGAGTTCTAGAAGAAGAAGAAGAGGTTGGATTTACACCCCGTCCTTCACTACCCAAAGCTGTCTCAGATCAGCTTACAAACTCCTTTCCATTCCCCTCCACACAACAGACACTCTGTGAGGTAGGTGGGGTTGAGAGAGCTCTTGACAGAAACTGCTCTTTTTCAAGAACAGCTCTTATCAGAACTATGGCTTGCCCAAGGTCATCCAGCCAGGTGCAAGTGGAGGAGTGGGGATTCAAACCTGGTTCTCCAAGATTAGAGTCCGCTCACTTAACTACTACACCAAAGTAGCCCCACTGGTGGACCTCCTGATGGAACCTGGGTTTTGACCAGTATATGACACAGAGTGTTGGACTGGATGGACCATTGGCCCAGTCCAGCATGGTTTCTTTTACGCTCTTAGCAGCTTGGTGACTTGGAAGGGGCCAGCAGACAACCATCCCAATTGTTTAATATGTCTCAGTGTCTGCTTACTCCTAATTTCTGACCCTCTCTTATTCTCAGAAAGAAGAATTCAGTTGTGATGATTTTGGAGAACAATTTTGCTGATAGACTCACTGATTCCTTTTATCAAAGAATGAAAGCTCATTGGGTGATCATTTCCTCTCCGGATCACTGGCTCCTTTACCCGTCCGATACCCCACCACACCCCCGTTACTTGCCTGTTGTGCCTGCAGGGATATAGTCAAGTTGGCTTGGAAGAGCCAAACTGCTGCTTAAAGAGTAACATTCTATTTTTCTGCTCTTTTCTTATGATAAAAAAGGACCAGTGATGGCCAAACCTGACCTGATCTCCTGGCTGGAAGAAGAAGAGCTGTTCTTCCCATTCTCGGCTGAAGAGGAAAGATTGGCAGGTCTGTGTTGGGACGGTGTGTTGCTTTTCCTTCCTTCCTTGTGTGGGTGAGTTTGTGTGACCTTCCTTATCCTAAGAGCTGGTTCTCCTCTAAACAGCTGGAGTGAGTTTTGAATGCTGGAAAGGTGCCTTTGGAGTTTGAAGAGCAAATAAATAAGCATTCTGTAGCCTACATCCAGGGCTCTTTTTGTAGCAGGAGCTCCTTTGCATATTAGGCGACACACCCCTAATATAGCCAATCCCCCAAGAGCTTACAGTAGCCCCTGTCAGAAGAGCTCTGTAAGATCTTGGAGGATTGGCTACTTTAGGGGTGTGTCACCTAATATGCAAAGGAGTTCCTGCTACAAAAAGAGTCCTGCCTACTTCACTGCCTGAGGAGAAACTCACTGGCTCGCGGCTTCATTTTTGAGAAGCCCCTCTGAACTACTGATCCTTCAGTACAATGGAAAATGTCACAGGACCAGATTACCCACAAAGACTTTTGAAAGTGTGTCTAGACACCAAGCTCTTCGATTCTTGCACCATAGTTAATGTATTTCATTCTCTAATGTTCCTCCTCCATTTCTCACAATCTTCCTGACAGGTATCTCTTTCTTTCAGACATCGGTATACAGAGAATTCAAGGAGCGGCAAAAAAATATAAATGCTTGGACTGTGGAGAAAGGTTCAGGTGGAGTGACAACCTTACTTCCCATCAAAGGATTCATACAGAGGAGAAACCTGGCACCAGCTTTTGTCAGAGTGGAAGCCTCTATTCCCATCGGAGAAGTCACACAGGGGATAAACCATATAAATGTTTCAAATGTGGGAAAAGCTTCAAGCAGAGTGGAAACCTCATGTATCATCTGAGAATTCACACAGGGGAGAAACCATACAAGTCCCTGGGATGCGGCAACAGCTTCAGTCGCAAAGAAAACCTTATTTCCCATCATCGAGTTCACATACGGGAGAAACCACATAAATGTCTGAAGTGTGGGAAACATTTTACTAGAAAAGGAAGCCTTACTTACCATGAAAAAATCCATACAGGGGAGAAACCATATAAATGCCTGGAGTGTGGAAAGTGCTTTAGAAGCAAAGGAAGCCTTACTCACCATGAAAGAATTCATACAGATGAGAAACCATATGAATGTTTAGAGTGTGGGAAAAGCTTTCAATGGAAGAATATATTAATTATCCATCAAAGAATTCACACAGGGGAGACCCCATATAAATGCCTGGAGTGCGGAAAGTGCTTTAGTAGCAAAGGAGGTCTTACTTACCATGAAAGAACTCATACAGGGGAGATCCCATATAAATGCGTGGAGTGTGGAAAGTGCTTTAGTAGCAAAGGAGGTCTTACTTACCATGAAAGAATTCATACAGGGGAGAAACCATATAAATGTCTGGAGTGTGGAAAAAGCTTTCGACACAAGAATATGTTAACTTCTCATCGACTAATTCACACAGGGGAGAACCCATATAAATGCTTGGAGTGTGGAAGAGGCTTCAATCGCAACCGAAGACTTACTGAACATCAAAGAATTCATACAGGGGAGAAACCATATATATGCCTGGAGTGTGGAAAAAGCTTTTCACGGAAGGGCGCTCTAACTTCCCATCAAAGAATTCACACAGGGGAGAAACCATATAAATGTCTGGAGTGTGGGAAAAGCTTTCGAGAGAAGAAAATATTGACTTCTCATCAAAGAATTCACACAGGGGAGAACCCATATAAATGCTTGGAGTGTGGAAAGGGCTTTAGTAGCAAAGGGGGCCTTACTTATCATGAAACAATTCATAAAGGGGAGAAACCATATCAATGTCTGGAGTGTGGAAAAAGCTTTCGAAAGAAGACTATTTTATCTTTCCATCAAGGAATTCACACGGGGAAGAACCCACATAAATGCCTGGAGTGTGGAAAAGGCTTCAATCAGAAGAGAAGCCTTACTTCCCATCAACGAATACACACTGGAGAGAAACCATATAAATGCCTGGAGTGTGGAAAAAACTTTCGAGAGAAGTCAAATTTAACTTCTCATCAAAGAATTCACACAGGGGAGTACCCATATAAATGCTTGGAGTGTCTAAAGTGCTTTACTAGGAAAGGAGGCCTTACTTACCATGAAAGAATTCATACAGGGGAGAAACCATATAAATGTCAGGAGTGTGGGAGAAGCTTTCGACAGAAGAATATATTAACTTTCCATCAAAGAATTCACACAGGGGAGAAGCCATATAAATGCATGGAGTGTGGGAAAGACTTCGGTCAGAAGAGAAGCCTTACTGCCCATCAACGCATTCACACAGGGGAAAAGCCATATAAATGCCTGGAGTGTGGAAAAAACTTTCGAGAGAAGAAAACATTAACCTTTCATCAGAGAATTCACACAGGGGAGAAACCATATAAATGCCTGAAGTGTGGAAAGTGCTTTAGTAGCAAGAAAGGCTTTACTTACCATGAAATAATTCATACAGGGGAGAAACCATATAAATGTCTGGAGTGTGGGAAAAGCTTTCGAAAGAAGAATGTATTAACTTCTCATCAACAAATTCACAATGGGGAGAACCCATATAAATGCTTGGAGTGTGGAAAAGGCTTCAATCATAAGAGAAGCCTTGTTGAACATCAAAGAATTCACACGGGAGAGAAACCATATATATGTATGGAGTGTGGGAAAAGCTTTTCACGGAAGGATACTCTAAGTTCCCATCAAAGAATTCACACAGGGGAGAAACCATATAAATGCCTGGAGTGTGGAAAAAGCTTTCGAGATAAGACAAATTTAACTTCTCATCAAAGAATTCACACAGGTGAGAACCCATATAAATGCCTGGAATGTGGAAAGTGTTTTACTAGAAAAGGAAGCCTTACTTACCATGAAAGAATTCATACAGGGGAGAAACCGTATCAATGTCTGGAGTGTGGAAAAAGCTTTCGAAAGAATGTATTAAATTCACATCAGCGAATTCACACAGGTGAGAACCAATGCTCCCTCTAAGCTGTGGAGTCCTGTGAGCAAAAATTCTACTTTCTGAGCTACTGGCATTAAAGTTGTGAGCAGGTAATTTGGCTACTACATAAACTAGTTTGCTCTGGAGCCATCCTTCCTAAGCTGAGACAAAAATGTGTGAGCCAGGGGCTAAAAACCTGTGAGCTAGTTCTCACTAACTCAGCTTAAAGGGAACACTGGTGAGAACCCTTTTAAATGCCTGGAGCGTGGGAAAGGCTTCAATCAGAAGAGAACCCTTTCTTCCCATCAGAGTTCACAGTGGGGAGAAACCATAAAAATGCCTGGAGTGTGGGAAAAGCTTTTGACAGAAGGTGATGTTAACTTTCCATCAAAGAATTTACAGAGGGCGAAACCATACCTGAACTGTGATAGAAGTTTTGGATGGAAAGATAAACTAACTTCACATCAAAGAATTCACACTGGGAGGAAAAGCATAGAAATATCTGCAGTGTGGAAACGCACTCCATCAAAGAAAAGTAGATTGAAAAATTAGAAAGCAACCTTATTTCTGTCCTAAAGATCTTTCTGTAGAAAAGAGAAATTCCAGGTTAGATATCTGAAGAAGTGAGCTGTGACTCACGAAAGCTGATACTCTGCCACAGATTTTGTTAGTCTTTAAGGTGCTACTGGACTACAGTAGAAAAGAGCAACACAGCTACCCATTGCATTCTGTTCACACCCTCTGTGGAATGCTAGAACTGTGGAGTCTCCCTCTCCCTCTTGGGCAGGACATTCCCCCAAGTGGGAGCCACATGAGCGAATTGCTCCATCCTTTTTTCTATAAAATCTCACTCATTATCTTTGCCGAGATGAGCAAAGCAGTTGCAATAGATTGGATTGAGAGAAGCAGTCCTGTAGCTCTGTAGACCGTAAGCCCTGAAAGACTTTGTCAGTAATAGGCAGCACCTTGACATAAATTGGAAGACTGAACAGTCTCCAAAGGAGCAACTCAGATATGTGTCAGATGAATTCTGGGCCTTACCCCAATAGTAATCAAGCTGTGACATTCTGTACCAGCTGAGGATTCTGACTTCAAAGGTGAACCTGTGTAGAGTACATTACATTAGACTGCCTGCCTGTATGTATTGTTTCTATTCTGAGCATTCGTACCTCTAATATTCCCATTATTTTGAAGAGAATCAAGTATTGCGCTTCAATAAACTGTATACTTAGTTAAATTATTGCATCTGAGTTTCTTACTGGTTTGGCATGGTCCATGGGGGCTAAAACAGACACAGAGTCCCAGGGATTAACTAGGATTTCTCCTTCTGATGGCACCTGGGTTTTGGCCACTGTGTGACAGAGGGTGTTGGACTGGATGGGCCATTGGCCTTCTCCAACATGGCTTCTTTTACCTCCTTATTTTCTTCCCCCAACTTTCAATATAGCGATATCTGAGAATTTCAGAGTGAAACTTTCTGCGCTTTGCATTTAAAAAGAACTGTGTAAAAAATACATACAGGATAAGAGTGCACCTGTAGGATCCCACAAGTCAGCTCCCCCACTAAACATAGCTGGTCTCCTTTGGCAACCCTTAGATTGTGGTCCTTGAAGAATGATTTAAAGCAGGCCAAGGCACATCCCCTGATACCTACTTCTGCCACTAAATGCTCCAACAGGATGGCATCATCTACCATATCTAAAGCTGCTGGCAGATCTAGGAGGAGCAACAAGATAATCTGGCCATCAGCTGTGAGGCTTTTGCAGGGTTTTTTGTGCATGTAGTCTTGTCACTCTGCCACAGTTTGCCTTCCAGTGTTGACAGTACGTGAATAGGAGGCCACTTGGCTGTCTTTGAATTCCATGTTTAACAACTTAAGCCGACTTTCCTGGGGCAATATTGACAGGATACTAGATGCTTTCAAGTCGACCACTTGCCTCTTAGACCCGTGTAATAAGAACATAGGCAACGCCAATGTTGGATCAGGCCAATGGCCCATCCAGTCCAACACTCTGTCACACAGTGGCCAAAAATACCAGGTGCCATCAGGAGGTCCACCAGTGGGGCCAGGACAGTAGAAGCCCTCCCACTGTTGACCCCCCCAAGCACCAAGATGACAGAACATCACTTGCCCCAGAGCCCCTATCTATACCTTGTGACTAATAGCCACTGATGGACCTCTGCTCCATATGCTTATCTAATTCCCTTTTGAAGACGTCCATGCTTGTAGCCGCCACCACTTCCTGTGGCAGTGATTTCGATGTGTCAAGCACTGTTTGGGTGAAGAAGTACTTCCTTTTATCCGTTCTAACCCGACCGCTCAGCAATTTCATGGAGTGCCTACGAGTTCTTGTATTGTGAGAAAGGGAGAAAAGTACCTCTTTCTCTACCTGCTCTTTCCCATGCATAATCTTATAAACCTCAATCATGTCACCCCTCAGCTGTCGTTTCTCCAAGCTAAAGAGCCCCTAGCATTTTAACCTTTCTTCATAGGGAAAGTGTTCCAACCCTTTTATCATTCTAGTGGCCCTCTTCTGCACTTTTTCCAATGCTATAATATCCTTTTTGAGGTGTGGTGACCACTGGTGAAAAGCAGTGCTGAGGAAATATGGGGGCCCCCGGGGGTCATCATCTGCCTGTCCCTTAGTTCAGGGGTCTATCCAGGGGGATTTAAAATAGGCAGTGGTAACACCGGTCTTAAAGAAACCATCTTTGGACCCTACAGATCTTTCCAATTACTGCCCAGTCTCAAATCTTTTGCTTCTGGCAAGGTCATTGAAAGAGCAGTACAAGTTTATAAAATAAAAATAAGTTTATTAAGCAATAGTCTGTTGCATATTATTTCTATCTCATGCTAAGAACATAAGAGAAGCCAATGTTGGACCAGGCCAATGGCCCATCCAGTCCAACACTCTGTCACACAGTGGCCAGAAATACCAGGAGCCATCAGGAGGTCCACCAATGGGGCCAGGACAGTAGAAGCCCTCCCACTGTTGCCCCTCCCCCCAAGCACCAAGAAGACAGAGCATCCCTTGCCCCAGAGTCCCTACCTATACCTTGTGGCTAATAGCCACTGATGGGCCTCTGCGCCATATGTTTATCCAGTTCCCTCTTGAAGCCGTCCATGCTTGTAGCTGCCACCACCTCCTGTGGTAGTGAATTCCATGTGTTAATCACTCTTTGGGTGAAGAAGTACTTCCTTTTATCTGTTCTAACCCGACTGCTCAGCAATTTCAGCAATTTCATTGAGTGCCCATGAGTTCTTGGTAGAGACGTTGCTGACGGGTCGGTAGTTACCCGGATCCTCCTTTTTCCCTTTCTTGAAGATGGGGGCAACATTTGCCCGCCAATTCATTTTTAGATCATCCATAAAGAGCGTACAATCAACTTTAATAGAACCTACAAAGGGTCGCTGTATAAATATCTGGGAATATTAAAAATTGAGTTATATTCAAGGTAGTCAATTAAGGTTGTTGGGCATTTTAATCCTCCTTCCCTGGTGCATTTCAGAGTGGACAATTTCTGGATACCCATTCCTAAGAACATCAGAAAAGCCCTTCTAGATCAGATCAGTGGCAAATCTAGTCCAGCTTCCTATCTCAGACAGTGGCCAACCGGTTCCTCTGGATGGCTAACAACATCTGGGGAAGCTGAGGCCTTCCCCTGATGTTGCCTCCTGGCGCTGGGATTCAGAGGATGAAAGATCAAGAAAAATCCTATCCCAATACTGTCTTCGAGATTTCCCACAGAACTGAATTTCGATTGTTCTTTCTTTATTACAATCATTTGACTAATCATATATACAATTATATACAATCAAAAATTCGAGGAACCATTTGAGGAATTGTTAACAAGCACTCTTTGGGTGTGATCTGTCAACCAGTTACAGATCCACGTAACAGTCATAGGGTCCAAACCACATTTTACCAATTTGCCAACAAGAATATTATGTGGAACCTTATCAAAAGCCTTACTGAAAGCAGGGTAGTAACTTTCTCAAAAAAAGGAGATAAGGTTAGTCTGACATGACTTGTTCGTGGAAAACCCATGCTGGCTCTTAGTAATCACAGCCGTCCTTTCTAAGTGCTCAAGGACTGACTGACTGATTATTGGTTCTAAAACTTTTCCAGGTATAGACATCAAGCTTATGAGTCGGTAGTTACCTGGGTCCGGTTTTTCCCCGTGCTTGAAGATGGGTACAACATTTGCCCGCCTCCAATCTGTTCTCCAAGAATTCTCAAAAATAATGGACAGAGGCTCAGAAATTACATCCATGAGTTCTTTTAGTACTCTTGGATGCAGGTCATCTGTCCCTGAGGACTTCGTTTCATTTAAAGGGACTAGGTGTTTATGTACTACCCCATGTCGATCCTAGGCTGCAACATATACAACCAGTGCTCCAACAGCTGGACTGGCTCCAGGGTGAATACCGGATCAGGTTCAAAGTTCTGGTGCTAACCTTTAAGGCCCTAAATGGTCTGGGACCGACGTACCCATGTGACCAACTTTCCTGGTATACCCCCAGAAGAACATTACACTTTGGGGAGAAGAATCTTCTGGTGATCCCTGGCCTGAAAAATACCCGTCTGTCTTCAAACACAGTCAGGGCCTCTGACATTCATGCCCTGTGGGATCTAATGCAGTTCTGCAGGGCCAGGAAGACAGAGATGTTCCACCAGGCCTAGACTTGAGGACGGCAAGGGTTTCCATCAAGCCTGGCCTCCTTCCCCCCCCTCCCCCCGGGATAAAGACATAAATTGGTCCTTTAAGCACCATCTGTAATAGTCATAGAATTGTTAGACCCCTGAACTAAGGGACAGATTGATAATGTCCACCAGGGGGCTTAACAGTGCCCAGGATCCTGTCATCCTCAGCCTGGGAGAGTTGGTTGAAGTTGTCAAAGAATCAAATGATGGTGTTGGGTCCTGGGTCCGCAGGATGGCAGTTGGGTGCAGGAGAGTCCTCCAGGGTGCAACTTTTATGCTAGGGAGCTTGGCAATGGCCTCAGATGATGCAGGAGGGGGGGGGGGTCGGTGGACACCTGAGT